TAGTGTCTTCTATATATTTAATAACACCTACATTTTAGTTATGGCAATAATTCATAAGTAGACAAGACCATTTAATTACATCCAGTTGCCAAATGCTTGAGATGTTAACACTTCATCAATCTGTTGACGGAGAATCAAGGAATGATTGGAGCGACAAGCACTGCCTTCCTAAATGTCATTCTCAGCATTTACCTGTTTTACTTGGTCAAAAAGAGAAAACACCTGCTTTCCTGTTGGAACATGAAAGTAGGTGCTTTAATATCCTACCTATACAGAAATAATTGTCAAATTAGCAAAGTAATGGTGGCATCCATATTCTATTAGTAGTAGAAATCTAGAAAAAACCCTCCACACTTTTTTGTCTAATATTACATTTCTGAAGTGTCGGTTTCCCTTCACACAAAATATGCTGTGTGTTATTTCCTGCAAAAGCTGTAATTAGAATTTAAAATTTACCAAGAGTTTCCCCCAAATCATACACAGAATTTTTCCTTATATTTAATACAAGAACAAGTTACAATGCCTGTGGATGGATCAGAGTATATGTTCACCTGAGGAGTGAAAAACTCATATGGGAAAAACCGCATATGAATCATAAAAGAATCTCCAATGGAGTTCAGTCTGTGGCTCACAACTAGGCTCAATTGCTAGAAAATTAAATGCAGAGAAATTCTATGTAAATATCATTACTCAATTCCATTTCCAGTTTCCATCAAATACATTTCTTTCCAAAAAAAAAAAAAAAAGAGCAACCAAATAAATAACTTCAGTCACAATACTTAAACATATCTGGTGAGATGTGAAGTATTTCGATCCATATCTCTAAACCTCCTCATTTGTGTCCATATATTTTACCTTTATTTTTTCTTTTCTCATGTACTAAAATGTAAAACAAGGGATCTCTTTTAGCAATCCACCTCTGTTTGGCATGTGTCTTAAACAAACTGCTTGACCTTAGTGAACCTGAACAAGTTGAATGCTAAATGAATTCTTCAGTGGCTTGCTGAATAGCAAAGGAGATAAACACATACTTATATAATTTGCTAAGTTGGGTGTCCAGCTATGTATATAATATAGGTATTCAACTGAATATTTATTCCAGTACAGTATAGGAGATTAGGCAGTTTTTAAAATTCAGTGGCCTAGAGGAGTACTGAAAACTGTAATCTGGGATGAGATACTTTTCAACCTGCTAAAACTCCAGCTGTATTATTGGATGAAGGCCAAGAGGAAAGACAGAGCAGAACAAGACAAGGAATATAAAACAGAGTACTAGCCATCATTTTAGGAGAAACAATCAGATAGGGATCCAGAATTTCACTTGTAAATGAGACAAGATGGGTGGAATGGTGGCAAATCCTTGACTATGTCTTTGCTGTGGAAGGTGACTGATCACACAAGGAACAAGGTTTTGTCATTACAGGGCCAAACTGGAGGACAAAAGTAATGAAAATCAGTTATCATTTCTGTTACAAAACAAAACAAAACAAAAACATTCTTTGAAGACATCATACCATACAGGGTATAGGAGGAAAAACTGCTGCTTACTGACAGAGTAAAGACATAAGAAGGAATACTGAGCACTGCAAAAAGACAAATTTAATTATTTTTGCATTTTGATGTTCCAGCTGAGAAGGATAACCAGATCTCACAAGTAGAGGATGTGCAGAGACAGCTGCAGGACAGTATTTCTGATGCATTTTCTTCCAGCCACTGAGAAGATGAAGCAGTGCCTAGGATATTAATTCTCTTTGACATAAATGCATGATGACAATAGGCTGCGACGTGTGGGGGTTATGCTTCCCATATGTTTTTTGACACAGTTGAAGTAGTTATTTTTGAAACTGCATAAAACAAATTTTACAATATGACATATGGGATAGGAATGAGCTGTAGCTACAGTAGAAGTTCTCCCTCTTGGTCTAAATGAACTGCTTACAGGACGTTTTGAAAATATGAACCAGTTAGTTGACCAAGGAAGGAGCAAGTCAGTCTCTGTTTTGGTGGTGCTGTAGGTACCTTTCATTAAGGGGGAAGAAAATGTTAAGAGTAGATTATCTTTTGAATATTTCTACCAGAATTTCCATCAGATTTTGTGCTGCCAGTTTACTTTCCAAGTATTTATAAAGATACCTGATGTCCACTTTTTCTACCAGCTATCTCTGAATAGAGGTGTTTTCCTAGGAACAAAAGTAAGATAATGCAAACATCATCTGGAAATCTTAAGTGACCTGTGCCAGAAGCAAGCAGGGAGAAAATTCAGATAGCAATTGGTATACTGATTTGGTGAGATTTGTTGAGTGTTCACATATACTTTGACAGAAACAGATTAGGAGCTTTTAAAAAAAAATCTTCCTCTGCCTGAAAACTGCTGACGTGTTCTTGGTTATTTGAATGGCTCTTCCCTTCTTCCCACCTACTTAAGTCTATGGCATCTGCATCAATGACTTTATTATGCTGTATGCCATTATTTTTAACTTAATTGATTGTCCCATTCTAGTGGAGTGGTTGATTGTAGCCCCCTATTTTCCCTTTTCCAGTGCCTTACGGCATTTTGCACACATATGCTAAGCCCTTTCTTATTTGACCTCTCTGAAAAACCACAGCCTTTTCAGTTTCTTATTTTTCCATTTCTAAACACTTTCATTTCTCTCAGACTGGAGCTTTTTGTCTACTTCTTTTTTCTTTTATGCAAACTAATCAATCAGAATTGTCTGTATGATTTCAAATGGAGATGAGTGACTGATTATTATTATTATAACAATTTCATAGAATAATAAAATTATAGAATTGTTTGGGTTGGAAGGGACCAAAATGATCATCTTTTTTCAAAAACCCTGACATGGGCAGGGACACCTTCCACTAGACCAGGTTGCTCCAAGCCCCATCCAATCTGGCATTGAACACTTCCAGAAATGGGACATCCACAGTTTCTCTGGGCAACCTGTACCAGGGCCTCACTACCCTCACAGGTTTTATCCCTTTTTTAACTGTTACAGCACCATGATGGGCTTTTCACCATAATTTTTTTTCTTTTGAATCATTCATGCTTACTTAGAACTATCATGTACAGCTGTCTTTACCAATGAATTTTCATAAACATTAAATTTCCTTAGATCTCTTGGGGACTATTCATTCAGGTCACTCTGATCTTATCCTGGGGAAAAAAGTTCAAAAACATTTTTAATGATAGAAAGAAAATCATTTGGATTCCAGCCCTACATAAAGTTCTTTTAACAGAACTTCGGTGTAATGATTTTCAGAGATTAGTGATAAACTCTTTGAAAGGATGCAGGTGAGTCACTGTGTTAGCATTTAAAGACTTAATAGCATATACAAAAATACCCCAAGAAAAAAGAACACTTGAATATTTAGCATTGTTCAGGAATACAATATACAGCAACTTATCCTGGCAACATATCTTTAAAAGTTACACAAAGGACCTACAACTAATATCTATAGTGCAGTCTGTAGTTCTAAGTCTGAAAGCAATGGAAAAACAAGTGCATTGCTACAAATGTGTGTTTTCAGCTTCCACTACTTATAAGATTATAATGGATTTGACTGCCTCTGCTATTAATAATTTCCCAAATGAATCTGTGGGTGGAACAAAAATGTGGAAATGAAAACTGAGAGGGTATTGTATGTTCAGGATAATCCACCTCCACTCTTATACAGTAGATGCAATTTGAGCTGTCATCTTTCTATGCCTTAGTTTTCCCATTTGTGAAATGGTTCGTCTCTACTAGATATCTTCTACCACATTAATTCCTTTTTATTCCCACACTAATTTCCTGTTCTGAAAGTGAAAGGAGAAAAATAATTATGAAAAGTGCTTATAAACAAGCTTACCTGATTCCCTCCGAGTGGCTGCGCTCCAAAGGTTGGGTATGTGTGTGGGACACAATTCTCCCATGCAGACACCCTCAAAGATGTGGTAAAGATGGATGTTCCCTGCATGGTCCCCCAGGATCCTCTCCTCTGATGCCAATCATACACCATAAGCATCACAATTACATACCGTACCTCCCCAAGTATTTGAATATTAATTGAAATTAAAGGGGTAAGAGAGGACACTGGTGGCATATAATAGAAGTAGTGTAATCCTCCTTTCCCATCACCTTAACTTCCTGAACATTTAAACTCTACAAACTCAAAAAGTAAAATGAAAAAATATATAATGAATGGATAAACAATACTTTATGCTGCTGGCATAAAGAGACATTTAGTTTATAATATTGGAGGAGGATATTAGATTTCCAAACAATTAGACTTCTCCCTCCAGTCTGAACCACTTACTTTAAGCAGATATTTTACTCTACTTTGCCAAATAGCTTTATGGCACCTACCAGAAAGACCCTGAAGCTAAATTCTTCTTAGATTTCTGACCACCTTAGAAAACATCCTAGAATTAATTAAAATCTGTCTTTCTGGCAAATTCAGTAGTAGAAAGGAATGAAAAATTCTTTCGTTGCAGGGACATGTAGCACACATGAATCTCTTTGGCAGTGCCTGCTCAGGTTCCCACTCTTGTTAAAATGCATGTTAGAACTTCTGTTGATGAGTGGTAGATCCCAAATCTGACTCAAATTGATTTAACAGGTCAGCATACAAGACTTTGCAAGTTTAAACTGCTGTAAAGCTACATATAAGGAATCCACTGATTCCACACGAAATAATGCATATAAGGTATCATGGAGACATGATTGGCATCAAGTGACATCAGGCAGTAACCATGAAAAACTCTTTAATAAACGCTCAAGCTGATAGTTACACTTTAGAGGCAAATCATGATAGTTTGTAACATGAGAGGCAGTCTGAACAGCTGTGGTCAAAAAACAGTAAGATAAGTCAATATGAACCTGTCAGCATCACTTGGACTACAAAGGCTGTGAAAGCAAAATGCCATTCTACTAATTTCTGTAGTTTCCATTAGTTCTGGATTATTGTTTACAAGCATAAACTTAATTTGAAATACTAGGATTTTCTAGGTTTGCTACTTTTTTTTTTTTTTTGAGAAAACTGTGTTATAGTCCTCAGATGGATCAACGTTTAAATCATCAGGTATGTCCATGGTGTATAGCTGAGCTCTGTGTGCATCTGCTTGCTGAGATCACATCTCTGGCGTCAGTGCTGGCGAGACCCAGGGAGATGGAGCTGAGCAGCCTCACCTCTCCCTCTTCCAGGCTCTTGGATCCAGCAGGTTGTATTTGCTCACTTCTTTTAGTCTTCTGTCCCTTCACCAACCTGTCATTAAACAATAAATAGTGATAGATGGTTCCTCGTAACAAAAATGCAGGAAAAAGTGTCTAAAATAATACATTATAATAAGGCAGGACAAAAACTAAGAGTTTTCAAAACAGTGAATGGTCAGGTGAAAAAAAAACCCTACAAAAGGATGACTGTAGCATAAATTATTGGTAACTTCCACTCCATTTCAATAATGAGTGTTTATAGAACATGAAATACAAAAAATATTAATGGACTGACTGTCATAATGCAAGAAGAATTAAAAGAAAAGGACTGAAAATTAATTGTGTGAGTAGAATGTGGTTGGCTGGCTTGAGCCTCTGGAAATACAGATATCTGTGGATACTGGTGGGCTGCTGGCCAACCCCCCTCCTCCAGCTTCTTCACAAAATGGGCATTTGCTCCAAAGGACACACATTTCAGAAGATAATGAAAGGGAAACAAAGATGTGGAAGCTATTCTATCTTCAAGAAACATGATTAAGTAACCAAACCCAAAATACATCTCTTTGAAAAGGAAGAATGGGAAACAGCTATACCCCTGGAGGGTAAAGTATTTCCTCATCCCTGTATTCTGGCTATCTCATGACCATATCCAGACTACAATCTCCAGAAGCTTTATGTCTGAGACAGATTCCTGCCTGTAGATCCAAAGAGCGGAGAGATGAACTAAAGAAGCAACTGAGTCATGTGAAATCGACTTGATTCACACAGAGGTGTCAGGAATAAAGTATCAGGACAGGTTCCTACCTCACAGAGAAATGAAATAGGATGATCTGTCGTGCGATTGACTGTGAGCTCTGTCCTGAGATACTTGGCTGCATGGTTTGGATCAAAGTTAATACTCTGTAGTCTAGACTGAACAGTTACTGAGCATTCAGGCTGCCCACTTTACCTCAATGATACCCTGCAGCTTCATCTACTACAAAATTCCTTAGAGACTGAGACAAGTAGAGATTACTAAAACTAGAAACACAACAAAAAAATTCACAGAGTATCATTTTGCTTTGAAGAAACATCATACTGCACAAAAACATGTTTGTTGGCATGTTTATTTGCAATTCCAGAATTGTTGCAATTACTTCATCTATATTCCCAAGTTATTCTTGGTGTATCTGCCTATAACCACAGCAGTTTAAGATAACGAACTCCATCTCTCTTTGAATAATTTCTTCTTCCTAACACATGTACATACAGACTACAATTTTCAAATGCTGGGCAAAAAAAAAAGAGGAATGAGTCAGACATTAAGTGCTCTGAATGATATGTGATAATTGAAGCTCATAATTATAAGGTCTTTGCATTTAATCTCACTATGTCACATGTACACCTTGGCAGTGGTTTCTAGAGCCTGTGGGGCTTTACTGGTCTCAACTGGACTGATATGGGCACAGAATTAAAGGCAGTCTCTTGGATATGAAGACAACCAGAACTTTAAAGATAAACCAGCACCCTAAAACTAGACACAGAAACTCACAAACTCAGAGCAGGCAGCAGGTACTGAATATCATTCCTCCAGCTACCAAAAATGCAAAACCTTACATTTTTAGATGACATATACCCTCCATCTCACTCCTAAGTAAATACATTGCTGACAGAGTATTAAAACTGAAGTCCTTTGAAGAAGTCATCCAAAAACTATCTTGCACGTCAGCCTTCAGAGAATGTTAGAAATGCTGAAATTTTAGGCATGGTATCAATATGGAGGTGGTCCTACTACCACCAGGTCCATAAAAACAAAAACAGTGGAATATTGTCAGCATACATGGATGGAGCAAAAGCGTGGTTGGAACAAGAAAGGCCCCCTGGAAAAGATTTTCCAGCACCACATCTGGTTGCCAGCAAACGGATTTAATTTCTGAGTGTCTTAATCACAGGATTTATCTGGCAACCTCTCAAAAGTGTTGCTGCAATTACCTTTTTTTCTTGTAAGCTAGGATTAGTGTAATACAAATACAAGTAAGTTGCCACATGACAATACAGTATTTGTTAGGACTTCATCTAGGTTTCTTGGAAAAGAAAGACAGTATTACTTAAACACTGATTTGGATGAACACCTGTAATAATTATAAAGGATGCAATAAACAGCACAGGAGGACAATACAAATATTAACTCTGCCTCTATTTGCTATGGAACAGGAAGGAAGAAAAGAAGGAAAGGAAGAATATAAAAGAAGAAAAATGAAGGAAAGAAAAAGAGGAATGATGTATCAGGCTGTGTGCAGGCTGGGGAAATGTGACATAGGGTCGAGATGAAGAAACAACAATTTTAGACGCTAACAACAACCGTATCAAGGAACACCTGGGCAGATGATACACAAAAGGGGAAATAACCCTCATTTTGGTTTAAGTAGCACAGGATCTGCTCTAAAATTTTAGCACTGAAGAACTGCATTGCAACAAGGACTACAGCTTGCCCTGCAGGCACAAGAAGTATACAAAACCGCAGAATCCAGCAGACCTAAGCTCAAAAAACAAACCCCCAAAATGAGTAAGCTGATCAAAGACAAAGCTGACAAGGAAACCAAAACCAGCTAGGTTCTTACAGGTGCCAATTGCTGAAAAAAATAATTTTTGAGAGATGACAAATTTGTATCACCAACCAAGAATGTCTTGAGAAAGGCTGAGAGGAAACTGGTGCAGCCAAACAGCAGGAATAAGGCAAGCTACAAGAAGAAATGTTTTCCTTGGAAAACCTGAAGTGTCAAAATATAGTAAGCCTAAACCAGAACGCATCATAAGCATGAGATGACTGCCCAAACAGAACATATAGAAAAAAAAATTAGTAACAAATCACCCCTTAGAAGCATCTGGAATAGCAAGCCTGTCAAAAAACTAAGGCCGATGGATGACAATGATATAAAAAGAGCTCTCAGAGAAGATAAGGCCGTATCAGGAACCAAAATGAATTCTTGTCATCTGCCTGCACTTTGGAAGAGGCAGAAGATGTTCCTCCAATGGAGCCTTTTTGCAAGGAATGAATAGGAGGGATCTGCCTGAACAGTTACAAGGCAATACGTCCAAATGACACTCAGAAGCAGTAGAGGAACTCAAGGGTGAACCTGCTGGATTATTAACTCTGATGCACAGCATCTTAAAACCACCTTTGTGCCCGAGGACATGAACTTTGAAAACAGATGCCCAGTTTTAATGATCTGAGGGGAGACCTGTGGACCTGTGGATCTACGGGCTTGTGAGTCTGAGACCGCTCAAAAAGGATCTGTTAGAACCAAAGAGGTGCAACGTGAGGAACAGTGTCCACAGGAGCAAGGACTTAAAATTAGAGTTCTTCTGCTTGGAAAAGAGGCAAATGGGAAAGAGATCTAGTCAAGATCTAAATGATTACCACAATCACAGTGTCATAAAATGTTTGCATTTTCCAGTGTTTTACATTGGTTATCAAATGAGGACTATAGTGTATCAGTTGAAGCTGGCAAATGGCATGTTCAAAGTCGAAAAGGATGCCTGGTGACTAAAACCAAATCTGGGATTTTCAGTAATGCTTTTGCATCTTTGAGAGGACACTGAAACCCTCTACAGCTCCTCTCTCCTGCCTTTTTAGAAACAAAAAATTGCTAACGTTCTGTGGTAAATAATCTTGGCCAGAACAAGAGTAATTTATTGTTTATTTTTATTTTACCTGTTATCCTTTTGTTTTGTTCACCAACAATACCCAAACTCTACCGTGATAATGTTTTAAGTAGTGGTATGTCAGAAACCATTTAATTATTTTTTTTTCTCAAAGTGTATTTTTTAGTATTGATGACATTTTAATTGGCAGTTAATGGGAATTTATGTGCCTTTTATTCTCCCTTACAGTTACAGATTCTCTTACTGTCTTTCCATCTGGATGATGTGCTCTCCTCTCTCAGGGCTTCTCTGTGCGCCATTTTCTTCCCATTAGCACACTCTTTGCACCCACTTCCCTCTTCCTTCTTCTAAAGAGGAACTTCTTGAAGCCTAAAGTGTAAAGCTTTGATCGTCCTCAGCATGAGCACGGCCAACCTCATCACTGGATCTGGGGATTCACAACTGTAGGAGATATTAAACTTTTGAGCATTGCATTGCAATGATATGAATGCAGACCAAAGAGGAACTAACACCACGCAGACACAGCCAACACACAGGTAGAATGCTCTTTAAAATAGCTAAATGCCATAATCCCATCATCACCAATCCATGGGATTTCACAAGCTGCTTTCCTCCTCTTTCCTTATATATACAGGGAACTGACAGAAATCACCGTTTTTAAGTCTAAACTGTTTCCAAACACCTTATCATATGACATTCTATGCAGATGTTGATCAAGAAGTGTTTATGTCTGCCAATAAAAATATTCCAGTGGATTTTGTTTGTGTTTCATCTGCTGTTTGGGTGCTGTTTGCTTTCAGTTCTGAACAAAAATCTTTTATTCTGACTGGTTCTCTTCATCATCCACTGTTTTCCAAACAAAGTAGTGAAAACGTCAGCACAGCTTGATATTTTATTTTCCAGTTCACACACAGATTATTTTTCTTTACATTCTGAAAATTTGCCAAATTCTGCATTTTTTAAAACTTTTCTCTTTTTTTTTTTAAATTTTGAGTTTATCAAGGAATTTCTCAAACTATTTTGAATTATAAGATTTTTATTGTTTTTTTTTTTTTCTAGAAGAGTGTTTGAAAAATCTGCCAAGGCATCTTCAGCTTTTTTTTAGGCATATACACATCCCTAAAATTGAAATACTTCTTCCTCTAACTGTTATGGAAAAGCAAGCTTTGTTTTACAGCTCTAGTCCTTTTCTGTTGGATTACGTCACCAGGTTTGTTGTTAATTGAAATAAAACAGCAGAGAAGTAGTGAGTTAGAAAATGGATGTTGGCACTCAGACTTTGCTAGGCAGAGGGGGAAAATATACAAAACTGCACACTAGGGAAAAAAGAGGTTTGGAACCAAGAAATACCAACTATAATGTCATTGAAATAAAGAGGCGCCATTGCTCTAGAGGCCTAACTGAAGTGAACGTTTGCTAAATGATTTTTACCACCTAAGCAGAGTTTTGAAGACACAGCCCCCTTCTGATATTCTGTGAGATACTGCCTTCAAGTATAAATACAAAAAAATACACAATGAAAATCATTGGTGAGTCCCTGCTTAATTTCTGACTACGGAAGCTGAAGCATTTGACTCACATCTGAGGTTTCTTTTCACACCCTCAGAGCCAACTTTCTATGCTTTAATGGATTATCCAGGCACTTTTATTCCAGTAAAAGCAGGGAGGTAGAATGACCCCACTTTTCAAATTAAAGAACTGTGTATACTTTTGAAGAAAGAATTAGCTCTAAAAGGATAGGGATGAAAAACTGCAGCAGAAAAAGACATTACTGACAGTAGACCTATTATGCAAGTGGTTTTTACAGTACGTTTGGCAGAGATCTGGAGGCTGGAAGGTGAAAAGGGGGATTTGGGGTGTGTGTGAGGGAATCTGGGGGTGCGTATGGGGGTTATTTGAGGGGGTCTAGGGCCAACGAGGATGGTTCAGGGGCTGAAGCATCTCTCTTACGAGTAAAGCCTGAGCGAGCTGGGCCTGTTCAGCCTCAAGAACAGACAGCTGAGGAGGGACCTCATCTATGTATATAAATATCTGAAGGGGGGTTGCCAAGAAGATGGAACCTGGCTCCTTTTGGTGGTGCCGAACAACAGAACACAAGAGACAATGGACAGAAACTGATGCCCAGGAAGTTCCACCTCTACATGAAGAAGAACTTCACTGTGTGGGTGACCGTGCACTGGAACAGACTGCACAGAGAGCATGTGGAGTCTCCCTCACTGGAGATATTCCAAAACTGTCAGGACACAGTCCCATGCCATGTGCTCTGGGATGACCCTGCTGGAGCAGGGAGGTGGGACCAGCTGAGCCACTGTGGTCCCTTCCAACCTGAACCATTCTGGGATTCTGTGGGGTGTTTGAGGGGGAGCAGGGGGTGTGTGAGGGATGGTGGGGTGTGTGAGGGGGTCCAAGGGGTATGTGAGAAGGTACCTGGGGGGTGTGAGAGGGGTCAAGGGGTGTGTGATGGACCAATGTGTTTGTGAGGGGCCCTGGGGGTGTTTCAGGGGTCCAGGGGTGTTTGGGGGTCCTGGGGGGGGTCTGGGGGGTTGATCTTGGGGGTCTTTCCCCCAAAAAAACCATTTCGTCCCCCCCTTGGGGTGTCTGTGAGGAGATGCTGGGGTGTATGTGAGGGACTGGGATGTGTGAAGGAGTCTGGGGGTGTGTGTCAGAGACCAGGGTGTGCATGAGTGGTTTCAGGGGGTGTGTGAGGAGTTCAGGGAGTTTCTGAACGGTTTTGGAGGGTTTGGGTCCAGAGGGAGTGTGAGGGGTTCTGGGGGTGAGGGTCCAGGGGGTGTGTGAGGGAATGGGGGGAGGTGTGAGGAATGAGAGTGTGACGGGACTAAGGGATGAGGGGTCCGGGGTGTATGTGAGGGGTCCAGGTGTGTGTGAGGGGTCAGGGTGTGAGTTTGGAGGGTTTCTGAGGGGTCTGGGAGTGTCTGAGGGGTCTGGGAGCATCTGAGGGGTTCAGGGTGTGTGTGAAGGGCATCAAGGGGTGTACAAGGGCATTCACGGGGAGCCTGAGAGAACCAGTTTCGTGAGGGGGACCTGGCAGGGTGTGAGGGGGTCCGGGGATGTGTGAGGTATTGGGGTTGCGTGAGGGACTGGGGTTGTGTGAGGGGATTTAGGGGTGTGTGTGAGGGACCGGGGGTGGTGTGGGTGGGATCGGGGGTGCATGAGGGGGTTCGAGGGGTGCCTGAGAGGACCGGGGATTTTGTGACGAGGATCGGGGGTGTCTGAGGGGTCCTAGGGAGTGTGTGAGGGAGATCGGGCATGTGAGAGGGGTTCGGGCTGCGTGTGAGGGACTTGAGGTTGAGTGAGGGGTCCAGGCGGTGTGTGAGGGGGGCTCGGGGATGTGTGTGAGGTACCGGGGTTGTATCAGGGACCGGCGGTATGTGAGGGGGTCCGGGTTGTGGGAGGGAGTCCAGGCTGTGTCTGAGGGATCCCAGAGGGGCGTAACGGACCGGGCGTACGGACCGGCCGCCGCCGCACCGCTCTCGCGAGACGTGGTGTCGGCCAGGGGGGCTGTGCCGGGCGGGAGCGCGTCGCGGTCCCCCCACCACTCCCGTCTTCTCTCCTCCCAGCGGCGCCGCGGGGCGGATGCGGCGGGGCCGCCATAGTGCGGGCGGGAGGAGCCGCCGCCGCCGTCCGCCCGGGGACGCGCTGCCGCCACTCCCTCCGCCGCAGCCGGGAGCGGGCGGAGCCTGCGCGGCGCCGCCGGTTTTATCCCCAGCATCCCTCCCTCCGCGCCAGCGGTGCAAGCTGAGCGCGCTCCTGCCCGGGCACAGCAGCATCGGGCGGGAGGGACCGGAGGTGCCGGCGCCGTCACCGTCACCTGGCGTTGCGGTGGGGGCGGGCCGCGCCGCTGTGTCTGCAGTAGCCCCGGGGTGCTGCTCGGGCGCTTTAAAGCTGCGGGTGCCGCCTGCGGGGGCAGCAGCAGCGGCGTTCGGAGCAGCGGAGAGAGGGGGAAGGAAGGCATGGAGGGCAAGCGGGCGGCGCCGGCGTCTGCGAGCGATGAGGGCGCCAAGGATGCGCTGGGCAGAGCGCTGGGTCCCACGCCGAGCCAGAGCCGCTTCCAGGTGGACTTGGTGGCCGAGGGGCCCCGCAAAGCGGGCGGGGACGTCGGCGCGGCGGGGAAGGGCGGCGAGGAAGCCAAGGGCAGGTTTCGCGTGAACTTCGTGGACCCGTCGGCCGGCGGCGAGAGCCCAGGCGAGCCCGGCGGGGGCGGCTCGGAGAGCGGCAATGTTAGCGGCGTCCAGAACGGCGGCGACACGGTGATGAGCGAGGGCAGCCTGCACTCGGGCGGGCACCAGCACTACTACTATGACACCCACACCAACACCTACTACCTGCGCACCTTCGGCCACAACACCATGGACGCCGTGCCCCGCATCGACCACTACCGCCACACGGCCGCCGACCTGGGCGAGAAGCTGCTCCGGCCCAGCCTGGCCGAGCTGCACGATGAGCTGGACAAGGTGAGAGAGCGGCCCCTCGGGAGCGAGAAAAAGCTAAAAAAAAAAAAAAAAAAGGAGAAGCTAAATCTCGTCCAGCCTCAGGGAGGCGCAGACAACGCGGATGCATCGCTGCCGCCTCGGTTTTATTATTTATTATTTTTTATTTTTTCGTTTCGTGACGCAGTGATAGCCACCCCCCCCCCATCCGCACGTGTTTTTGGGAGATGGTTCCCCCCCCCAGTGCGAGAGGTATTTAGAGATGTAGGTCTGTTCGCAGCCGAGCAGGTTTTCCACTTCCATATCGCCTCCGGCAGATAGGGAATTAATTCCCTATTTGGGGAAAATTGGGCGTTTGCCATAGGTATTAGTCTGGGAAGGGGACTGGAAATGCTCGGAAGAGACGCTTAAAATAAAAAAAAAAACAAAAAAATAAGGACAGTCCTCCTATTTATCAGCGGCCGGAGGTTTGTGTCCTAGCATCTGCAGATCTGCATCTGATCGGATCCGGATCAGATGCTGCGGGATCCGCACAGGCACAGATCCTGAACGAGCCTTTCCAGGGGTGCTGAGCGGCCCCGTTGTCGGTGTCAGGGCTTCGGACCTCAAGCTTTTTCTATTTCGGACTAAGTCGGTGGGTTACAGTGGAAGCTGTTTTTGTGTTGCAGGCTGTCTTGGCTAAAAGGCGAACTTTAGCTGAACGTAGAATTAACTTAATGCATTTTTTTTAAACTACCATGATTAAATTAAAACCAGATAAACCTACTGTAGTGCTTTTGCCTCGCAGTTTTTTGCTGCGCTCCAAGAAGCCCATGTTCCAGTGGGGTTTTTCAGCTGGGTTTAGAGAAAACAAAGGAGCATGTGGGCCACGTCCCAAGAATATTTTGTTTCCAGAACTTTTTTCCTCTCACCTTTCACTCCTTATAGGTGGCGTTCCATGGGGAAAGTCTGTTCTTGTCAGACTTTCACACCATTATTAGGCTGTTCAGTACTGGTTTGGGTTGGGGTTTTTTGTTTGTTTTTTGAGGAGGTTGTGGTGATTGTTTAAGTCCATTTTTTGAAACTGACTCTTGATAGGAATAATTGTTGGATGTATTATAGACATACTTCGTTGTGGCATCAAAGATTAGTTCTCCAAATAACTGCTACCTGTAACAGCAAGTTACTCCTGCCTTCTAGGTCCCCTTCTGATGGAGTTAAATGATGTTCTTTAGTCTAAGTTAGTATAAAATAGAAATTGGCAATTACTCTCTTATGCATGGACTAGGCGTGCTATAAATAGAACACACATATGTGCGCTCATAATATATGTGAAAACATAGCGATTTCCTGCCCCTTTCCCTGAATTTCTGACTTCTGGCCGTGATGGGACGTCTGGGTGTTTGGATACTCCGCACTGTAAGCAGAACATTGCTTAAATTTCTAAGCTTGGCAGGTAGGTTTTTTGGTGTATTTAGGTTGCAGCAATCATGAAAGCTTTTTGACACCATTAAGAAATTCAAGTGCAGAATCTAATGTATTCTGGAACTGTAATTTCTAGAATGGTGATATCTTCATTAAGAGGAAACTCATGGCAAGCAATTTTCTTTGTAGTTTGTGGCATAGAGGAATGGTAGACAACCTAATTACAGGATCATTATCAAAACAGTTTCATTGTGAGCAAGTCAAATCATTAATTTCTTAAATATCATAAATTTGTTCTGCAATGTGGATAAATGTATACATGAAGATTTTTTTTTTTTTCCTTAAAAGTCATGCCCTGTCTGCTGTGGGTCCTCCCCACCTCAGAAAAAATTATTGGGGATAGAATATGCATTTTTTGGTTGCATTTGCTGTCTAGTATCAATTTTAGAAAGGGTCACAAATATAAACTTCAGAATTTGAGTTGAAGTTCAATGGAGTAACACAGCTATTCTGTTGTAGGATGTTTAATTTCCAAAGCAGTTCATGTATTGGCAGCAATTTAGGCTTATATGAAGAGGAGAAGCCATTATTTTTGCTTCCAACTTAGCAAGACGTTTTCCAAGGTGAAGTTAAGAACACAAAAAAGCTTTTAATAAGGGTGTGTCATGCATACTAATAACTACATTTCTCCCAATCTCAGGGGTATGAAATACATCTCTGATTATGTACTTGATTTCTGGACACAGTGCTGATAACTTTTAAATCAAGATGGTACTGTGCTTCTCCGTAGAAGATGTTCACAAAGCTATTGTGCTTTTTGCTGTTTTCAGGGGGCTTATTGTCTCCATTCCCAAAGTGACTTCAGTTCCTGCTGACTAACAATAGTGGTCTCTACTGCTAAATAATGCAGTGCATTAAAGAAGATATTTTCAGTAAGTGGAAGGGTTAAGATTGCTCTTTAGCTGTGGATTTCATACTAATTTAACAGGTACGGCATGTCTGTAAAGGGCAGCTGGTACAAACATCTCCATACCCTTATATAAAGTTTACTCTGTGTGAATACCTATTGTTGTGCCTGTGCTCTTGACCCAGGGAATCAAGGTTGGCAGTGACTTTGTGTTAATCCAAAACTGTTCACTGTCAACGTGGTTCACTGCTTTGAATGCAGCAATTTCACCTTGCAGTTAGAGTTTGTGCTATTCTGTTTGCTTTCAATAGCTAAATAAATGTCAGGGAGTGTTGGAGCATTGTTGATGCTGATGCCAGTTAAAGAAAAAAATTTTTTTTCCCTTAGGTTTGTTCATTATGTCTAACTCTTCTACTGATTCTGTTCTCACAGAAAAGCACTGTTGGAAGAAGATGCACTGTTTGAGGAAGATGCACGTACATGTACACAAGGGGTACCATTTCTCAAGGGTTTGTCTTGCAGTCCGAGCAGGATAGGTCATTCCAACAGTGGCTGTTCTAACAGAAAAGAAATTGCTCTTGAATCTGGTTTTGTGAACATGGCTGGGTGATGCTGCAGTACTCTGAGGTGGATGAATTGCATAATGTTGATCTTGGTAGATCATTTTAAATTTCAAGGGAGGGGGTCTTGTTTTAGTATGTCATTGGCTGCCAAGTATGTCATAGCCAAGATGATCAATCTGTTCCTGACCCAGGTGGTGTACATTAATCTTACTCTGCCTTAGAGAGATGATAGAGGAAATTTTGTGATGGGGTTACGATTGCTTATGTCATAGATGAGGGGGATGCTTTAGTCTCCCGAGATGCAGAGGTAAGAGGGTGTTTATTAGCAAAGAGGTGGGAGGGAAACCAGCATACTGTGACACGACAGGCAGGTTTTTGTTGCAGTTGTGTGTCCCCTGCCCTCCAGAGGGAATCTGCCTTCAGACAGTAGGAAGAGTAAAAGCGTTCTTGCTTTTCTTGCTTTTCTTGCTTTTCTTGCTTTTCTTGCTTTTCTTGCTTTTCTTGCTTTTCTTGCTTTTCTTGCTTTTCTTGCTTTTCTTGCTTTTCCTTTTCTTAATTTTCCTTTTTTCCTCTCTTACAGTTTAGAAATATCTGTTTTGCCTGGGTCAGCTACACATGTATGTAAAGATACAGCCTGTAGAATGCATTTCACCTGCCTTCATGTTCCTAAGTTTATCAGTTACCATGGCATAATGTCACAGACCTGGTTTTGAAAGGGGTCTACTCATAAAGTATTCAGAATTGCACAGTGTCGTCCACTGCTGTGCTTTAATTTATGATTTTTCTGTATAGATTGAATGAATTGTGGTGCTTTTTGGTATTTTTTTTTAAGACTAAAGCTTTGCTGTATGTCAGTGATTCTAATATGAGCTTTGTGCCAGCCCTCGCAGTTGCATTGAGTGGATCCGGTGTGAACCAAGCCCTCTACTGGCGGCTCTGCTGTGTTGTTGGTTAAATACTCACCGAGAGCACTGACAGGCTCACAAGGTAGTGATCTCAGAGGAAGATCTTCACACCACTTCCACCCCCCCGGCTCAAATTATAAAGCAAAACAAAAAGAAATCCAAAGGCATTTAAAAACACGAGTGTGTTTTGCTTCCTCCCGCATAAAAATCCATGCAGCTGTCGTCTGAATTTGGAGACAGAAGTAAGAAAGAAGGCATTACTGATAGTCTTGATGCAGAATTGAGGAGG